TATTCAAGTTCATTAGTCCCTTCCTCTGTTGTATGAATGCTAATGAAGATATTGTTCAAAATATCTGTGATTTGCATTTCTAAAATTTCCATTTGTCTCTAGTGAATCTGCTCACAGCCTCTGTACCCCTGGCCTGTAAACCTGGTTATTGTATGCATAAATAAATAAATATTAAAAATAACTAGAGATTCTTACATTCCTTGGAGTGTAGGGAGAACAGTAAAAAATTCAAGTTTATTAGGACTTAAGAGGTAAGTGACCATAATAAGCATATCTGCTAGGAGTTATTTCTGTGCTTGTCTTGGGTATTCAGCAGAGGTATAGTCCTGGAACTATAAAAATTTTTGGTACTTGTGCCCTACCTGATGCTGCAAATGGTTGAAGAACAGCACTATGGGGCTGCTGGTAGCCACTGTAGCACAAATTCAATCGCTGGTGAAGGAGGTGGCCCATATGGCATGTTAAACATCTCTTGCCCAGCTCACTAATCCTCTTAGCAGTGTATTTCAGTCAATCTGCCTATTCTGCTCCCCACTCTGTCTCTTGTGAATCCTTTCATCCTCCCCCCATGCATCTCTTCCCTGTACCACAGCTCTTGTATGCATAAATAAATATATTTAAGAAAAGATCTGGTACTTGCTTCCCTTCACAGTGGCACAATGCAGAACTACTGAACATATCAATTAAGCTTTATTGTCAGGGTTTCAAGATCACTATCTTTGAAAATAGTGAACAGTCACTATACTGCATGACCTGTGGCCCATATCCAGCATTTAACAAGAACACAATATGATGTTTCTCTATAATGAACCCTGTCTGCACTGGGAGATTTTTGGCTAGCCTTGAGAAAAGTGCAGAAGCACAGGATTGAAATGATATATCTGATACTTGCTTCCCTACACAGTGTGAGAGGGAGGCTTTCTGGGAATTTGCTCACATTCCTTTTTGCATGGGTACAAGTTTCAGAAAGCCAGAAAAAGATACCCAGCCTTCATCCCTGGTGTACAGTAATAAACAGAAAGTAGATAAGGAAAAGAAACAGTAACATGTAAAAGGAATCCCAACAGTTTGATATTAGACTTCTTGGAGAATACCCTAAGGGCAAGGTGAGAATGAGGAGATGTTTTCAAAGCAATAAGCAATAAAAATTGCCATCTGGAAAGGTCAGACCGGAGGAGAGAAAGATGGATCCAGAAGAGATTCTTTGCTTCACTCCAGAAATGAAAACCTAAAGTAGTCCAGATGGGCATGGGACTCAGAGGGTCCTTTCACTTGGGTTAAAAATAGAGCTCTGGCCCTCCCTGGTAGCACAGCACTAAGAAGCTAAAGCCACTTCCACATGAGTTCGATCACTGCCTGCCCTGGAGGTGACCACATGGCGTGTCAGACCTCTCCTGGCCTGCCCACTGTTCCCCTCAGCAGTGTACTTAATCAGTTGGCCTGTTCTGCTCCCCATTCTCTCTCTGGTGAATCCTCTCACCGACCCTGCACCCCAGTTCTGTATGCACAAGTAAATAAATCTTTAAAAAAATAGAGCTTTCCTAAAGTTAGGGAACAATGATGACTTTGAAGAAAAGAAGCTGAAGAAATGCAATTATATACAACACAAGATGGGTGTCAAAAGACAATTGAAGCCATCCAGGATGGAAACAGCAGGTCAAACTCTGGCTTTTGTGATAGGGTGGGCTCACAGTGAGATTAAGTGATGAGCATGGACCTAACTGGGAGGAGATATGTGCAAAAGAGCTGGGATGACACAGATAAGTGGGTAGGACACACAGTACTGCTTCTATTCTAGACCCCATTGGGGCAGAGGCTAAATACTTCTTGACAGTTTTCAGGGATGTCTTTTGTGGCTATATCTCCAGCAAGGAAAGCAAGAGTATGTCAACAATTGGGACTACATCAAAGTAAAGATTCTTCACAGTGAAAGAAACCATAACCAAGACAAAACAAAAAACAAATAAACAAACAAAAACACACCCTACAGAATGGAAGGAAATATTCACTCACCATGCATTTCACAAGGGGCTTATATCACACATACACAAAAAACACACACAACTCAGCAAAAAATAAAACAAATAACACAAAAAAAGGGTAGATTAGCTAAACAGGCAGTTCTCAAAACAAGATGCACAGATGGCCAACAGACTCATGAAAAAATGATCACTCATTGTCAGGGAAGTGCAAATCAAATCTACAGTGAGATAGTGTGTCACTCCTGTGGAGTATTCCATATAAAAATACCCTCAAAACAACAAGCTTTGAAAATGTTTGTAAAAAGGAATGTTTTTATATAATTGGTCAGAATGTAACTGGTGTAGCTCCTACACAAAACAGTATTAAGGCTTCTCTGAAGATTGAAAATGCTTCTACCATATGACCCAGTATTTCTACTCCTAGGTACTAAACGAAAGAACACAAATATACTAATTAATTGCAGTGATATTTACATAGAAACAACCTATGTGTCTAAAAACATATGAGTGGATTAAGATTTGGTGAACATACACAATAGGATATTACTCAGTGGTCAAAAATGATAAATTAATTTAATTTATGATTTGTGGCAACATGGATGGAGCTGGAAAGGATAATACTTAGTGAAATCAGTCGGGAGGAGAAAGACAAACACTAGGTGGTGTAACATATATGTGGAGTGCAATGAAATCAGACAAAGGGTCAGATAAAGCAAAACTAAAAAATTAGCCTTTGAAAGCTGGCTATAGAAATGAAGTATTTAGAGGGGAGAGGTATTTAGAGGGGATGTGCACAAACTGAGGAGGGAGCACAATGGTGGTGGGGGTACACTGGTAACATCACTGGAAAAGGGGTATCCTAAAATATAAATGATACAAACCAACATTGCCATAATTGAAAATGTGGCTATCACATTTTCTTTTTCACCTGCAATATCCCATTAGTCACCAAGTCCAATTGATTATATAAATTATTAATCTTTTTAAGAACATGTCCCTTTAACTCTAATTCAACTTTCATCTTTCTTACTACTGGATATTTACAGATTGCATTCTTTATATTAACAACATCCTTTTCCATGCCTTTTTTTTTTCACACTATTCTTTTACCTGTATACTTCTCATCCTTTAGGTCAATGTGAAGTTGGTGGTTCAACATCATCAGTATCACCTGGAAACATATTTGACCTAGATAGTTCTTAAGATCCATTTCAGATATGCTTAGTCAGAGACTCTGAGTGTTGATGCCAGCAATATGTACTTTCTCAACCCTTCCAGGTGATTTTGAAGCATGATTAAGTTGGAGAATTACTGATTTAGGTCCCAGCTGAGATGTCACTATATTCTAGGAAATGATCTTTAGCAATCCAAACATTAAATTATACTTCTCTAGCACATTTTAAAAATCCCTATTTAACACAGCACATGAAATTATAATTATACTTTTCTTGCCCTTCTATTATAAGGCAAGAAACTTTGTATAAGTTAAGTTTAGGAATATGAATAAGTATTTTTTCCCACTGCATTCAAAACCTCTAAAATTATTCCTATAAAAGTAAACCTCTTATATGCAGTCATGGACTTCCCTGTCACACAAGGGGTTAAGTTGCAGCACTATGAAGCTATATTCAGCTACTGCTGCATGAGTTCATCCCTGGCCAGGGAGGTGACCCACATGGTGCAGCAAATCTCTCCTGCCTTGCCTGCTGCTCCCCTCTGTAGTGTGTTTCAGTAGAACTGCCTGTTGTTCCCACTCTGTCTTTAGTCAATCCTCTCAACCTTCACATCTCTTGCCTGTACCCTAGTTCTTGTCTGCATACATAAATATTTATTTTAAAAATGCTTATGGACACCCTATGTTTAGTATTAGAAATTTAGTTTCTACCTGGGGTTAGGATATAGTCTGTAATAAAGGAAAATAATCTTTGGCTGGGGTTAAGTATAAGTATATAATATGGGACACTCGATCCATAATTAACAACTGACACTATAGCAAATATTAACTTCAAATGCTAGAGTTATAAGTTCAATCTGTGTTCAAAATTTAAGGGAATCTTTGGTAAAGAAATATTCCACATGTTAAGGATGCTTTGATTAAAGGATGTTAATGATATTTTTAAAAAAATATATGATAGATGGCTTATACTGGGACTGTGTATTTTTTTAAAGATTTATTTATTGATGCATACAGAACTGGGGTACAGGCCAGAGGTGCAGGGGCACCAGAGGATTCACCAGAGACAGGGTGGAGAACAAAACAGGCTGACTGACTAAGTACACTGCTGAGGGGAGCAGTGGGTGTTTCAGGAGAGGTCTGCTGCACCATGTGGGTCACCTCCAGGGCCAGGGATCGAACACATGCTGAAGTGGCTTTAGCTCCTTATTGTTGTGCTTCAATCCACTGCACCACCAGGGAGGGCCAGGGATTTTGTATTTTTTATAGAGTCAAACTCAGGCTGTGGATTAGTTGTGTTTAATATTCATGATTACATTCTTTAACAACATAATTTTTCTCATGGAAAATATTAGTGGATCAAAGCAGAGGTTCCACAAAATTACAGTAGGTGGTTTATAATGGGATTGTGTATTTTTTCTTAAAGATTTATTTATTTACTCATACAGAACTGGGGTACAGGCCAGAGATGTGGAGGGTGAAAGGATTCACCAGAGACAGAGCAGGGAGCAGAACAGGCAAATCTATGAAGCACACTGCTGAGAGGAGCAGCAGGCGGGTCAGGAGAGGTCTGCCGCACCATGTGGTCACTTCCTGGGCAGGCGGGGATCAAACTCATGCGGAAGTGACTTAAGCCTCTCAGTGCTACGCTTTAACCCTCTGCGCCACCAGGGAGGGCCAAGGGGTTATGTATTTTTTATAGTCAAACTCAGGCTGTGGATTAGTCATGGTTAGTATTTATGTTTACATCCTTGAAGAACATAATTTTTCTCAAGGAAAATATTAGAGGTTCAAAACAGTGGTTCCACACCTCCTTTGTCTCTTAACTAAAAAATCCCACTCACCAGGTTGAGCTGCCAGTGGCCATCCAATATCAGATTCTAGCACTCCATTGGCATGCACAGAGTAAGGGCGGCTGGCATTATTCTTGAAGACCACAGTTAAGATATCACCAACCTCTCCTCTAAGAAGTGGACCTAACATATGCAAAAGAAGAAGCATTCTTAACGACATTATGGAACAGGACACATCAATGGGCTATATATAAGAACTCCCTATAATCAAGAATTGTCCTATGATTAAGAGTCATGAATGACCCCATTTTTAAAATTCCAAGGTGTTAAATTGTTACTGCTTCCCACAGTACCAAGATATTGCATAAAGATTGTATTTCTAACCCATCCAAAAATCTCACTATATAATAGCCCAAGATTGTAGGCAATGTAGACTAATTGATGGTAAGGCATAAGAGTTTGGCACAGAGTAGAGAATTGCTGGACTCTCTACAAAGGCCAATGAGTCCCTTCTGTGCAACAATAATTAGGAGATATGTTGGCCCTTATAAAAGAAACTGCACTAATAATTAAACTAAGGTGCAAGAGTACTACCAGTTCCTTGTTTTAGTTTATTTTTTTTCTACTTGGGAAGGGATGGTTCCTAACTTTTACTTACTTTATCATTAAAATAAATCTGTTACCCCCAGAGATCCATGGATATAGAGGCATGGAAATGCCTGGGTCAAGGTTGTAGCAGAATCTATGAATCACCCACACTATGATTGCTACTTTCGTTACTAACTTATAAAATGAGACTGTATTTTCAGTATATCATAAAGAAAGAAAGACAGTGGGGGATGTGGTAGCTTGCTGATATTACATAACCTCATAGGAGTATTACAGCCTTCTAATAGGAAAGTAGAATGTCTTTACCTAAGATCCCCAAGTGTTTATTTGCTCCAGCTCTTGGTACAGGAATCCTGAATGTACCATCAGTGTATTCCCTGAATACAGCCTTCTTGTATCTGGAACCCAGGAGCCCATCCTTGTTGCTCAGAAAGATGTGACCATAACTAGAAGAATCCAAAAAGTTGGTATGACATTAACCCCTTATTTTCAGATGTTGGTGAAATAGGAAACCCACATACATTGCACAAAATACAGGCATGACTGGCTTTGCTGAGGCCCACTTCACTGAGCCAATCTCATACCTCAATGGCTAGATTTGAGGGCTAGGTCCATTTATAACCTACAGACCAGCCTTGAACTAGCTCCCAGGGTAGTCTAATGGACCCCAACAACAGCAACGACTCATTAATCCCATGATTCCTGGTTAAGGGCTGCTCAGATGAGCATATGGCCCAGCTGAATATGTCTTCAGCTGTAGATCCCAAGCATACCCTGGACACAAGCCTGAGCCTCAGTGTAAATCAGATTTGGATGCATGACTGACTAGGAGTTAAATTATGAATATGGTGCCAGAATTGTAAGTGAGCAGATAAGTTTCAAGCTCCAACTAGGACAATCAGGTATGAGCTCTCACTGGTGCTATTCAAGGTTTTTGAGACCATTCACAACTGTAAAAGAAATGATCTGATTGGAGTTTGGTCTGCCACACCAATCAAACTTGAAAGTGTAAACAGACCAATCAGACTTGAAAGGCAAGGACCCTGAAAAGAATATAAGCCCGAGCATAGTTAGCTTGAAATTGTTCATCAGATAACTTCAGATAAATCTTCAGGAATCCTGAAAATACCTTGGCAGACAGAGTAATCAATAAGATTTGTTGGGATAGAAGCCTCTGCAGACTTTGACACTTTCATAGATTCTCATAGCCTTAACAGAGACTTTCTCAGAGACCTCCATACAACTTTGAAGAAACCTCACTTCTGCACCTGACTCTAGCCCTGCCTCTCACATCACCTACAGAGAAAACTGTCAGCCTATGCCTGGTGTCTCTAAAAGATCTGCTTGTTGGCTAGGGCCACCATCACTAATAGCTTTTACACTGGTGTCAGTTATCTCATGCTATCACCTACTGGCCTGTAACCAGAACTGTTGACCTGTATCTGGCCACCTTTGAGAGTCAACCACCACTTCTAATCCTTCAGCACTGCCTCCCGGTGTTGTTGCATCTAGAACTTTTAGGTACAGCATCTTGTGATTTCCAGCCTAGCCTTTGGAGTAAAGCTGCTGGCTGCTGCAGTGTCACAGAAGAAGTCTGAGCTGTGATTACCTCCAGCTGTCACTGTGAGTTGGCTCCTGATGCATGCTTACCATTGTACCCCTAGCTCCAGTTCTCTCGTTGAAGGGACAGTTCCATCTTGCATTAGCAGCCTTTGTTTTGGACTACCAGACATAGCTGACACTCTCTAAGGTAGAGCAGCTGTTCATTTATCATCTTAGAAACACTTTCATCTTTCCCAATCTCCCTTTTGTTAATAAACCCCACTGTCTCTGCTCCCTGAGCCAGAGTGGTATCTTGCAATTGTGAGCACACAGGTGAGAACACAAACAAGAATCTATGCCCCAGCCCTGGTACTGTTTTATGGGAAGCTAAGTCAAACCTAACTTCATGTCACAAATGGAAAAGAGGACCTTTTCTTCTATTCTCATATTGCCTGCCACATTAGGTACATAAATGCTATTAAATGTGGCATGTTTCAATATCATTCATAGTTTCTTGTCTTCTATATCCATGAAGGAATGTGTAATACAATTTTATAGGGCAATACCTCTGGGATAAGAATCAGAAGCTCTGAGCCTTAATGATGTGTTTAAATGGAATTTGTTTCAGAAAGGGACACAGTATAGATGACAGGAGAATAGTAAGTGTTTTGGCTGCTGTAGGGTTAAGGGATATGGAAAGTTAAAGAGGAAACTGAATATTACAGATTTCTCCTTTAAGATACTTTTCTACTTACAAAGAGATTTATTATTCATTTATACTTTAATTCCTATTACTCATTTTATCACTTGACAGCCCCAATAGACTGTTGAAGTAGGTCTGTCCCAGAGAAGAAATCAGTGGTCCAGAGGTGAAAGGACTTATCAATATTGATTCTGTCAGCTAGAAAGGGAGCCAGATTCAAGTTTGCTGCTCCTTCCCTAGCTCCTTCTAGTTGGTATTTCCAATGATACCACCTCACTTTAAAGATAAAGTCTAGAAAAGAGAAGTCACTTTTTCTCAGTCACAGAACAAGTTAGAAAAAAAAAGGTTGTAACTTTCAGTAACCAACCAGAAGGACAATAATTGGCAAACAGTTGTTAGAGCAGCAAAAGTAAACTCAAGTGAATAATGCTAAACTGTACCTCCATTCTGGTTTAGGCTGAGGACATGGTTGTCAAGCCAGAGACTATATTTCCATGAATTCCATGCAGCTAGGTATAGTCATATGAATAAGATTAGGATAATTATGTGTGAGAGAAAATAATATATATAACTTCCAAGTCATTGCCTTACATATTATGTTGCTGAACCTGAACTTTAACATTTTTTGATATTTGGAATGACTATAACTAGAATAGGTAACTTAGTTCCAAGATAAAAACAAATGTTATGAGCTGTTCATATTTGTACTATGATGCAAGCAAGAAATGGATTTTTTACTTCAGTTACCCTATTATGGGCTTTTTCTACTATACAGCTTATCTTTAATGACATTTTGACAAGAGATAGTGAATCTTGGGTTTTCACTTCCTTGAGTAAGTTCTCTATACAATTTAAATGTTCATAGAGGTGCTTCTTTCTGTCTAAACAGATGAAATGAATCAACAATTAAAAGCATCTATCCAACAGAATATAGAAGAAGCACTGAGTTCCAGATAACTTATGTTCTAGTTCTACTTTAGTTTTGTTTCTATCTTATACAGTTACTTTAGATAAGGGTTTCCTCAACTCAAAATTTCAGTATCTCTTTTAGCTACAAAATGATCAAAAGACTGAAAGTGTGATCTATACTTTCCTGAACTTACCTGTCTTTCTGAGGCTGGTTGTGCCATGCCAGTTCCCAGCTCCTATCAGGACAATAGTCCCACTCTACCTCTTCTGCCATGATGTAGTAGATTCTTGCAGCCTGGTAATGTTCCTGAGGGGTGGCTTTGTGTCTAGGACACTGTGAAACATTATAGATTGCCCTCATCCCTGCTTCTCTATGACTGCCTGCTTGGCAGTAAATCTCAAATGTCCCTGAGAACGAAAGAGAGAGCAAAAGTCAAATCAGTACCATGTGTATTTCCTGGGCAATTCCTTGCCTTTATCTAAATTTTACTTCAGAGTTGGACAGATTCAGATAAGGTAATAGATTCAAGGTTAAGAATTCTGACTCTAAAGTTACACTGACTGGGTTTAAAAATGAACTCTGGAGTCACACCAATGCAGCAAGTGAATGAGTTCCTTACTTTGTTTCTGAGAGGAAAATTTTAAAGATAACCAAAGGGACACTATACACCTTGGAGAAACTGAAGCCCCCCATTGGACACTGGACATAAACACAAACTATAAAAATGAAACATTGAACAGCAGGTGGAATGGACACCAGAAACTGTAGACTGCAGTGAGAGACATAGGTGGCAGGACTATTGGCTCAGCCAGAGGTCCTGAAGAAGGGAGAGTGGAAATATTGTAGATGCATACATTAATGAAAGAAAAGATACTGATGTGGAAAAGCTGGGGTACCTTATACAAGCCTTTCTCTGAGAAGGAAAGAATGAACTCTAGTTGCACCAGTATACTTCTAACCCATTAAAAGTTCTCAGACTACCAAGTCTCACATTTGGAACCTTAAAAAGGAGGGATATCAGCAAAGAGAAAATGCTTATAGAGCCCTGGATGTGGGGAGGAAGAACTGGTGATTGATGCAGCTGGGAGGCTTTCATCCCTTTAGCACTCTCTGCAACCCCTGCCCCCACAGCAGAGGTCTGGAGAATTGTGCACCATTAAGGCATTGCCCAGCAAGGCTCACAAACTCCAGGAGATAAAAGGGAAAAAATGTTAGACAAATCAATCACAGGCCCAGTCACTGAGAAACTACAACACTTCTAACACTCCTCTGACCCCCCATGGGCACATCCAAGCATAGAGAGGACCTAGAAAGTGTTTCTGATGGGAGGCTTGCCTGCTTACTTTATCTACTCACAAAACCTGTGTTAAGCCCTGGAGGTAAAGAGAGACAATTCAGCTCTAGAGTGGAACCCAAGTGGAGGGGAAAGACTGCTCAGAGTGGGCAGAAAGAGTCCTGGAGGGGCAGAAGGAGGACTTGTAGACCTTCTAGCATTCCTGCATCCCCACCCACACAGCAGAGGCCTGAAGGCTTGTGAGTCATAAAGGCACTGCACTTCAGTGTGCACAGTGCACAGAAAGTAAACAAAACCAGTGACTGACTCAAGGGCAGGCCTAATTTCAGAGAAAACTATAACACTTCTAATTCACCCCACTCCCACCCCACCACCACCCCATGGAAAAATACAAGCATGGAGGTGACCTGGGACATATGAAGGCTACAGAGATCAACAGAAGAAACCATAAATTCAACTGAGACAGTCAGCCCATCCAGACACTTCTTGCCGGCACCTTCCAGAGAGTATGATTCAACATGTTACTGGAAGAAGCTGAACACCACAAGAGACCCCTGACTGTCACTGGCTGAGAAAACAGACAAAATTCCACACAGCTGAGGGTGGACAAACAGGATATATTGAAGCAAAGCACAGTTCAGAACATCCTCCACAACTGAAGTGTCTGGGAGTCCCTCTGCCATCCCAGAAAGAATATCTAGAAAGAATGCTGGCCAACAACAGCAGCACTGTGTCTCAACAAGTAGAAAATATTAGAAAATACATGACAAGGAAAATAAGACTAACAATTACCCAAGCAAGTCCACGGGGGGAAAACTCACCACAAAAAGATCAGTCACCAGAAATCACTAAAGAAATAGAACTGCTCAGTCTACCAGATAGATAATTTAAAATCATCATGAGAACCAAACAAAAAGAAGATGAGAAGGGAAAAAAATTATACGAGACAGGTCATCAAGAAATTGAAGAATGCAAACAACAAAATTAATGAAAGAAGTGAAAAAGAAAAATAAAGATATGAAACAATGAATTGAAGAAAGAAAATGAGACATCAAAAAAGAAAATAGAAGAGATGCAGATGATAAAAAGGCAACTAGAGGAGATAAAGAATGTTGTGGAAAATAATGAAAACAGAATAGATGGGATGGAAGAACGAATCAGCACTCTCGAAGACACAGAAATAAAGAGAATTAAAACAGAAAAAGAAAGAGAAGTAAAAAGGAAAAGGAATGAAGAAACATTTCAAGAGCTATCTGACACCATAAGGAAAGGAAATATCATAGTTATAGGTATCCCAGAAAGTGAAAAGAAGGGCCAAAGAATCGAGAAAATATTCACGGAGATAATAAAAGAAAACTTCCCTATTATGAAAAAGGAGATGAAAGTAGACATCCAAGAAGCAATAAGAACACATAACTACCATGACAATAGGAAAAATACAGCAAGCCACATCATAGAAAAACTACCAAGAATACAAGACAAGGAAAACATGAGAGTGATAAGAGGGAAGAAACAAATAACCTATAAAGGGAAACCAATCCGGATGACATCAGACTTCTCCAAAGAAACATTATGGGCAAGGACAGAGTGGAGGGACATACTCAACAAACTCCAGAGCACCAAATGCCAACCAATACTCTATCCTGTGAAGCTCTCCTTCCTCTACAAAGAAAGAATAAAGATATTTTCAGACAAACAGAAATTCCACAATTTTGTCATGACTAAACCTCCACTCTAAAAAATACTACACAAAGTCCTCAACCCAAATCTGACAGAAGAATGAAAAAGAACAGTTCAAAACAAGGAATAAAAACACAAAATGACCCCAAAAAGGCAAACATTAGTGCCAATATATCAATATTATCTCTAAATGTAAATGGCTTAAACGCATCAATAAAAAGACACAGAGTAAGGACCTCCCTGGCGGTGCAGCACGTTAAAGAACAACACTAAGAAGCCAAAGTCACTTCAGCATGAGTTCAATCCCTGACCCACCCCAGACGTGATCCACATGGTGCAGCAGACCTCTCCTGACATGCCTGCTGCTTCCCTCAGCAGTGTACTTCATTAGCAATGTACTTCATCAATGGTCCTGTTCTGCTTCCCACTCTGTCTCTGGTGAATCCTCTCACTGCCCCTGCAACTTTGGCCTACCCCAAGTTCTGTATGCATAAATAAATAAGCCTTTAAAAAAAACAGAGTTTCAGGATGGATAAAAAAAAACAAAACAAAACAATGTTCTGCTGGCTCCAGGAAACACAATTAACTGCAAAAGATAAAAACAGATTGAAGGGAGACTTAGAGCAGTGGTGGCAGTGTTTTTTTTTTGCCCCAGCCCTGCTACAGCCCTGGAGATAAACTGAGACAACTCAGCTTGGGAGAGGAAACTAAATTGTAGGAAAAGACTGCAGCTCAGATCTGGGAGTGCCCAGATTCCCAGATGTTAGTATACCCCACAGATGTGTTGCACTTCTTTGCTCCAGCAGCCCTGATAAAGCCCTGGATATAAACTGAGACAACACAGCTAGGTGAGTGGATTCCAAGCTGTGGTGGGGTGGAGAGGGGGAGAAATTCTCTACTTAGAGCCTGGGAGGTGGAGAAGAGGAACTGACATTGACGTGCCTCTAGCCCTACCACATATCGCCCCCCCCCCACAACAGAGAACTGAGACTAGGTGACATTAGGATAAGGTCAAGTCTTGGTGCCATTTTTAAGGCATGGTCAGCAGGACTCACAAAACCCCAGAGGAAAAAGAGGAAAAAAAATGGTTAGACAGAACTAAACCACAGGCCCAAACCTGGGAAAATGCAATAACTTTAACAATCTTCTACAGGCACATTTGACATAGAGAGGCCCTAAGAAATGCCTCAAATGGGGAGACTTGCTAAGGGGTCTACATGATTACTGCATCTACCCACAAAAAACCTGCAATATAATCCTGGAGTTAAAGAGATACGGCTGAGCCCTGTGAGAGGAACTCAGGCAGTAGAGAGGCACTGCTCAGGTAGAGACTGTTTGGAGTAGACACAAAGAGCCCTGGAAGCTCAGAGGGAGGACTGGCAGCCTGCTCAGCTGGGAGGATTGCAGCCCTATGTCACTCCTGTGGTGGGGGCATGTCCCACCCCCACAGCAGAGTACTGAATACTTGTGAGCCAGAAAGGCTCACAGTACTTAGAAACTGAACAAAGCCAACCACCAACTCAACCACAGGACCAGCTCCAGGGAGACTTACAAATCTAATACATTATACCCTCTATGGGCACACCCAAACATAGAGAGAACCCAGGATATCCGAAGGCTACAAAGATCAACAGGCACCTGCCAGAAACAAGGGCTCAACGTATTCCTGGAAGAGGCTGAACAACACAGGAAACCCCTGACTGTTACCAGCTGAGACAACAGAACAAATTACACACAGTGAGTGCTGGAAAAAAAGTACAACTGAGAATACCCTCCACAACTGAAGTGTCTGGAGGTGCATCAGCCACCCCAGAAAGAACATCCAAAAAAAAAAAATGCCAGACAATAATAGCAATACCTTGTCTCAGCTAATAGAAAGTATTAGAAAATACATAACAGAGAAAAGAAGACAAACAAATACCCAAGGAAGTCCACAGGGGAAAAATTCACCATCAAAAGGTCAGTCACCAGAAAGCACCAAAGAAATAAAAGAAATAGAACTGCTCAGCCTACCAGATAAAGAATTCAGATTCATCATGATAAACAAACAAAAAGAAGATGAGAAGGAAAAAGAAAATGAAATGTGGCAAGCTATCAAGGAGTTGAAGAATGCAAACAAGGAAATGAATGAAAGAAGTGAAAGGAAGGAAAAAGATATGAGACAAGCAATCAACAAACTGAAAAAAAAGAAAATGAGACATTAAAAAATGAAATAGAAGAAATACAGGGGTGAAAAGGCCACTAGAGGAGATAAAGAATGCTGGGAAAAGCAATGAAAACAGAATAGAGGAAATGGAAGAACGAATCAACACCTTTGAAGAAACAGAAACAAAGAAAATTAAAAAAGAAAAAAGAGGTAAAAAGGAAAAAGAACGAAGAAACAATTCAAGAGCTAGCTGATACCATCAGGAAAGGAAACATCAGAGTTATAGT